TCTCAACAGAAGCCCCTCCAACTTGCGATAACACAAGGTGGGAAGGGTAGAATTGTCTTTTTCACATGTGGTAGGGAGGTCAGGGAGAATAATAAACCGACCTGGGCCGTTTAACCGGAGCTTCTCAAGCATTTCCAGTAGGATCTTAATGAAGCGTGAGTCAACCGTTGTCAAATAGGCCCGGCGGTGGTGGACCGAGAGAGATGATAACCATTTGAGGATGGCGGGTCGGTGGTTCGGGTTAGGATTCGGTTTCGGTTTCGGTTTCGGGTTCGGGTCAGATATTTTGGAGTGGTAAAGAGAGACGTGGGCTGTGAGGGAGTCGAGGAGTTGTTGTTTCGAATTCATTGGGAATTTGAAGGTATGGAACTGGAAGAGGTCAAGTAATGGAGGAGGAGAAGAAAATAATGTACACGAAAGGAAGGGAGAGAGACAAAGAGGGAAGTAGAAGTGGACAAATAATTGTTCTAATTATTATTTATACATGAAAAAATAAAATAACGTATAAGGTCCTCAAACTATTCAATATGTATTAAATAGGTCCTCATCCTATTGAATACGTAGCAAATAGGTTCTCAATCTAATATTTTTGCAACCTCAATCAACAATGAATTATGCCCCTATTTAGTGTATAATAAAATCAAAATTTTAATATATTTTGATAAAAATTAATGAATGATTGATTGAAAATTTGTGAATCTCGTAGTATTTGGTTAAATTAATTATTGATTTTGACTTCAAATTTTAATTGGTTTTTAATTCAAACCGAACAAAGGCTATGTTTTTTCTTTTCATATTATTTTTTTTAAATTTAAAGTAAACCATTATATTAAATAATTGAGTATTTATCCCTTGTTTGGGATCCATTCTTCAAAAACATGTTTTTTTTTTTTCATTTTTATTCTTGACTACGCATTTTTCAATAAAATAATATTACACATAAGTTCAAATATTTCATTATTTTTTAACCGTACATTCTTCAAAATATAACTATTCTAATGGAATCCCGAAAAAGGGCTTAACTAGGTTGTAACAGGGGACATGACAAGATGTGAAGATGAAGGCTCAATCTTTACAAGCATCTAGGAGCCATAGTTTGATGCTTAAGCATCTGTTTAAATCACGTTAACATTTTTATTCTTATTCTTGTACTCATTTTCAACCACACATTTTTCAATAAAATAATATTTTTCATCACATCAATAACTTTTACTTCTTTTTCAACCACATATTCCCTATCACATCACAAAAAAATGCATTCTCTCCTACAAAATGTGCATCAAGC